TGGTCCTTATTCTCACAGCTCAAGTTCAGGTTGACCACCTGAAGACTGGGCACTGCAACAGTCGCTTCTCACTTTTAAATCTTCCCGTTGCTTCTTCCTCCTTCAGAGCCAGAATCAAGCCCTTTGGGAGCTGCTGAGAACCCCTTATGTTAAGGATCCAACTTGTATTACTTGGTCCTCACATTCCAAACATTTTTGGACTGTTTCACTCCTCTCCTCAAAAGCTTCTAATTGCTCCCCAAATTAAATGAGAACTTTGCGTTGCAAAGGATTTCATCTAGTGGGCATTCTCTTTTCTGGATGTTTCATGTCTAATTCGTTTACCTGAATTCTCTGCTCTAGTCCATTAAACTTCCCAGTGGTACCTACATGTGACCTTTCTGTTCTCTTACCTGGGCCTTTCTCACACGCTCATCCCCAAGCAGCGCTGCATCCTTGCACTGCCCTGCATACAGACCTGCCTTGACAGTGGCGTGGCACTCACCTCCTTGAGGGAGCGGCGGCTGGAATCTAGACACACTAACAACTAACCGGCTGATCAGGACTCACAGAGAGCCTCGTGGTGTCTATGTGGGAATCTAGTTAGGCTTTATCTGCCTGTTAAAGTGTCCACTGTGTTCGAGTGTAAAATGTTCACACAGTGCAGGCCACTCGTTCAAAGGAAGTTTTATAGGACGGGGTGCACATGGACCTTGGCATCAAACAAGTGGACTGGCCCATCACTACCTACCAGCAGTGTGATGACTCACTGCCCAACCGGAGACCTGTCTTCTCCTCTGCAAAACGGGGGACAATTACCCCCCCAGGGGGGGAGAATTACCCCCTGGAGGGGTGAGAATTACCCCCTGGAGGGGGGGAGAATTACCCCCTGGAGGGGGGGAAATTACCCCCTGGAGAGGGAGAATTACCCCCCGGAGGGGGGAAATTACCTCCTGGAGTTGCAGAGGAGGAAATGTCAGCAGTAGGGTCAGGTGAGGAAGGGGAGGTTGGATGGTTAGCCCCACTACATTCATTCCCAGAGTAAGAGGATAAGCCTCCATTTGAGGTCATTTGCTTTACAAAGAACTAGTTCTCGTCTTTTTGACAAGGGAGCATAGAAGAAAGGGACTTATTTCTCCTATAAACTATCATTCTTAAAACCTTGGGAAGTGAGATCCTTATTTCTTCTCACTTTTAAATATATTTTTTCTTATCTTTGAATAAATTAGGTAACCACAAAATTATTTCACTTTGAAATGCTAATTAAAAAAACTTGCTTTTTAAGTACCCCGAGTTAAGTGCTATCTGTCTATCCATTATGTGAGCTGTCTTGTCTTCTCATCAGTACAAGTCAGAAAGATGTGGTCTAATTTGAGAGTTAGCCATCGCATGCAAGAGAAATTCACACCATCAATATATGGGCATGTTCTTTCTGATAGGAAAACGGCTGAATTCAGAAAGGAAAAGGATATCCAATCCAATTTAACTGTTGATGGAAAACATCCCTCCATTATGTTGTCAGGGACCTGAGGGTAGAACGTGTGTACAGTTGGCCCTTGAACAAAATGGGGTTTAGGGGTGCTGACCCCCATAATCAGAAACCCACATAGAACTTTTGACTCCTCAGAAACTTAACTAATAATAGCCTACTGTTGACTGGAAATCTTATTGATAACATAGTCGATCAACACATATTTTGTGTTGCATGCATTATATACTGAATTCTTACAATAAAGGCAGGGAGAAGAAACTGTTAAGAAAATCATAATACATTTAGTGTTTATTGAAAAAAAAAATCTGTGTATAAGTGGACCCACATAGTTCAAACTAGTGTTGTTCAGGGTCAATTGTATTTTTTGGAAACAACGAAATGAGGAGGAGATCCGAAGGGCCTCCAGTACGAGAATATGGTACCAAACAAATCACTCTGTCTTCTGGGAAGGATACTAGATAGCAGGGTATGGGCCAGACCACAGACGCTTGGTTTAACAGTTCACAGCTGAGGGCGGCAGGTAGTCTCAGAAAATTATAAATCGCCTCTGCTGAGCCAGTTACTGGTAAGATTCCGCCCACGTATGTGCTACTTACATGTCTTCCTGCAGACTAAAGCCCGAGTGACCTGGCAGCAGGGGTGTCTGTGACAGTTAGGAGAGAACGTGTGCTTGCTTAGCGTTGTGTGTGGGCGGTGAGCCTGGTACTTCAACGTAAATGTATGAGGTGCAAACTTTCAATGCAAAGATGACTCACAAGGTTTCAGAATGTGTAAATATGAAGCGCAGTCTAACTGCTACCGTCATTGGTGCTCACCCACAGCAACACCAGCCTGGGTCGATGCCAAATTGTTTGGACTACCAGGAAACTCACAAAACCTGTTGATGAGAGCAATTTGGGGGCGATTTTAACAGTTGTGTGCACACTACCATCTTGAAGCAGTGTTATATGTACTTAACCTGCATTCTGCGACGCTGTTTGATGGCGGCATTCAATTCACTGTTTCTCCCAGATTGTGAAGTCAATTCAAGACGTAACATTGAAAAATTTATAGACAGCAATTGTAAATAAAAAAACTAGACAGAGGCACTTCCTCACTCAAGTGTCTTGAATCAGGCAATGAAACAAAAAAGGATCCTAACGAACATTTTATATGAAGGCTGAAGTCAAACCAGGATGAGGACTGTATGCGATTCATTTCCAGAGCTCCTTGTTGGAGAGTTCCTTTGAGATGAACTGTAAGGGTGAAACCTTCGGCATTGCTGAGTGACCCCTTGGGAGGGCATTATTTAGCTATCAGAGGAATAACCTGGGGAACTGTGAGCAAACAGACACAACCAGGAGACCCAGAATTCAACAGGATATTGTTTTAATAATAACAAACTTTGTGGCCCTTAAAACACAGGAAGAATATGAAAGAATAAAGGAGCTTAATTAACCAATTTTGTAAATGGAACAAATCATTATTCATTGTTCCCATAAAAGTGGTGGATAAAATCTGCTAAACTTATAGGTTTGTAAGTTGAACTTGAGGAATAAATTTCTGACTTTTTTCTAAACAAAAAAATAAAACATCTTTGAGGTGTTTTTTATTTTTTTGTTTTAATAGGTCAGCAGAAACAGATGCCAGAAAAGAGGTTTTAAAGCTCCAACTGTTGCATATTCAAAATAATGAATTAAAAAATTCCTAGCCCTCCCATTCAGCTTTTGACTTCTGGGTAAAATAAGGGTCATACCACAGAGTCCTACATTTAACAGCAAGGTTTTTGAGATTAAACATATTTGCAATAAAAATAAATTTCTGGACATTAGATCATTCTTTTATTAATTTTGCAGGCCCACTTGAGAATTTCATTTACAAAGACACCCAAAGATAATAACGAATAAATAAACTTGGATTCCCTGAACCACCCACCACCCATGCACACAGCTGGACCATTAGGTGGTTTTTTTAGTTAAATAGCAGCTGCCATATTTGGTCATATGCTTCAAACTGTTAACACAGAACATTTGTGCAATTCGAACTTCAGCTATTTACTAACTGCATTCATTTCCCATAAGAGATAGACCTCCTAGTTTCATTAGGTTAGTACCCTGGTTCATTTTCTCTTGAAGACTCAGTGCAGTATTAAGTAGTCATAAGCAAAATAGGCATTGTGTCAGTAATGCTTAAACATTTGAGCAGCCAACCAGCAAGCCATATGCTAGGAAATTCCGTGCACCCTTATTTAGGTTTTAAATATTTAGTACCATCCTATCCTATATAATAAAGGCTAATATGCAAATTGTTCCCTTACCTGGGAGTTCGACCAGGGGGTGGGGCCGGCCAGCCAACCACCCATGGCCCCTCCCCCTGGCCAGATTGGCTCTGATCAGGGCTGGCCAGCCGGACCCCACCCGTGCACAAATTTGTGCACCAGGCCTCTAGTCAACTATAATTGTAAAGGTCTGCTAGGTGCTAGCATTCTAAAGCTTTTACCCAAGTGGTTTCACTAAGGACAGGAAAAAGCCAATTTTTCTCCTGTCATGTGACAGGTTCAGTGAGACTACCAAAAGAACTACTATCCTGGTAAGATCTAACTGGCATTCAGCTTCAAAATAAAACAGCAATGATTTTCTTTTAAGTGGCCTCAAGGTGAAATGCACAACCACTCTGGCTTTAAATCAGACCCCACAGCCTTCTGTTAACTGTTTCCATCCTGGTCCATCTATTGCAAGTCTCACTCACTAAACGTGCCCAGAAACATCGAATGCACTCACGTGTCAGCTCCTTATCCATCCCAAGTCTACGGCACACACGCATTGGTAGTTTCATCTGAGGGGTATTAGTTACAATCCTACCAGGTACGGAGTTGCCGAAGGGCAAGCATCATGTCTTAGGTTTCTCCGGTGGCCCCTCCACCCCCACCACAGCGCCTAGCACAGTGCTTGACACACTGCAGCTCTTCTTTAATCTATGAAGCGCATCAATTAAAACTTCGTTGCAAAGCTTTTGCTAATTTTCTACCACAGGTTAGCTCAATTTCATAGAGGCAGCCTGTAATACTGAAGCCAAGCCACAGTAACTTTCAACAGTAGTATATTATAAATGTTAAATCCTGATGTTCCTCTCATTTATTAAACATTTAGTTGGTTAAATACAGTATTGTTTTTTATAGTTTTTTTAATGGCTTTGTAAACTTCTTGTGAGAACAAACCAAATTCTCTCTGATAGGCCGGAGTTGACTGAGCACCTGTTGGCCACATCACTCTCTGGCAGTGACGGGCAGTGGAGAAGGACCTTTAGTCTTGACTGAAGACACAGCCCCTGGGCCCTGAGTCCCAAGCCCAGCCCAAGTACCCAGAGAGGGAGGCAGAGGAGCCAGTACGCCTGCTGGGGACAGTGCTGTGCAGAAAGTTCTATAAACACACACGTGTGAGGCACAAAACCTTTATTGCCACGGGATGCGGGGGCACTCACCCCGCCTCACCAACAGCTGAGAGTCACAGAAACGCAGACTTCACATGATAAAGTACCACGCCGACGGAGGGAGAAATGGCCCCTTGGGCTGTATTGGCGGTAATACCGAGGTAACCAATTGACCTTGTTCAGTGAAAATACCTCTAACACAATGAACAAAACAACACAAACTGTTATAACATCCAATTCATATATACAATTCAAATAAAAATATATATTATTTGCTTCAATGTATAGCAAATTTAATACATTAGTGTTTATAAAATAAAAACTGTATTCTACTGATATTTTTCTTGTGCTTCCCTCTTATCACTAAACTTGAAAGACCAGAAAAGTCTAATACTTAAGGAAACTTATTTATGGATTTAAAGATGCAGTTTGTTTGGCCATGAAAGACGGATAAATATTAGTTGGAAGATTACAGCATCTTTAAAAATTGTTGCTTATTAAAATGTACAAACTCCAACTGTAAGACACAATTTTAAAAAAACCTACAGAATTTCTCAAAATAGATTAGAATACAGGAAACGTTTCATGAAACTACTGAGATACTAACCAGTTCTATGGCTAATATTAAAAATCGAATAACCTATTTAAATCGTATTCATACTATTTCTACACACAGTGAACAAGACAACCACAGTACTCAACCTCAAGCTAGCAACAGAGTTGCAAGGTCCAAAAAGCTGCTTCAGTGGGGAAATGCTCTGGTACAGTTAAAACATGTAGGAGGGGAAGCTTATGATAGATAGAAGCTGCTTTCTGGTGTTTCTGTGTAAAGCTAGTCTACAAATCAGAATGAAAAAGCAGTTGTATATGCGACAGTGAACACAACTCCAGCACAGATGTTTCATCTAACATTGGGCTGAGGAGTTGTAGTAGAACAGATTATGACTTAATATTTTTATGTAGTTATGACCTAGAGCAGAACTGAAACAAAAACCACACATATTCCAAGTCAATACGCTCCTCTTAGCAATATCGGGGTTTAGACGAATCTGGAGGAAGTAGGTAAAGCTGTCTAATATCGTCTCCTCTTAATCCAACAGAAAAAAATATAAATTTCTAATAGTATTTGTTTTCTTAGTATGAATTCCAATGTGAAATTCTCATACGTGTGCAAGTACATTATGAACACTGAAGCACAGCCCCCCACGTATATGCACACAGCCCATTAATTAAATAGGGGGAATTAAAACAGACTTTCAAGTGAAAATGAATTAAAAAAACACCGGCATTCACAAATCTGAAAGTTGTACAAAAATGAAATTATAAAATAAATAATGAGTATATGTCAACTAAACCGCCACAGAAACATGCCTGCACGTGTGATGTAGTGACTGTCCCCTCCTGGGAAGGGCTGGGTGGGAAGACCCCTGGGGAGACTCTAGTTTCTCCGACTCCAGTGCGTAGAGAAGAGTTTCTGGACATAAAACGGTACTTCCTTTATTATAGTACAGCCTTGGTTAACAGTCACCATCCTTGTCACAGTTAGGGTTAACTTACTATGTCTTAATCTATTTCACACGTTCAGAAACAGCAATGTTTAAGTCCAGGCTTGTCCACATCGGTCCACTTGTTTCAAGGTCTCTGTCCCAGTAACGGCTCCCTATGTCTGCCGTAGCTTAAGCAGCGACCATATGATGCAATCTGGCAAGTAGGTTAAGAAAGATTGCCTTCTGTGCTTCTCATCTTTTTAACTTTACTCCAGTATTGGTTAATTGTGTACATGTGCCTGATTAAGTCAGCAAAAATGACACTTTACAACTATAAATGACACAGTTCCTACTAAACAAAATCAGTTTCATCAGATATTAAATCCACAATATTTTCCTTGGTTTAAACCGGGTATTTGCTAAATTCCATTTCTCCAAAGTCACTGCTACCCTGCCAATAACTACATTACTTAAACTTTCTTTATGACTGCAAAGATTCTAAACTCTGACATATAATATTTACGCTAAATACGCTTAAAGTAGACAATGAAATTTCAAGTAAAATAAACTGTATCCATATCTACTGGACCGAACAGGTCTCAACATCTACATTTTACTTCTATAAATTACACAAATACATTGTACATTCTTAAATAAATGCTTACAGTATTACTTTGTAAGCCTTTCCACATAAACCGACTCACACAGGAATGTGAATGGATCAATATTTCTATTACAACATTCTCTCTATTTTCTCTCTTGTGGCTGTTGCTTTGTCTTCCTGGCTTCCAGACCACTGTGTCAGTCCTTACGCTTTGGCTATGAAATCTGTTGGAGCTGAATGAGGCAACATTGGTTATTAAGGCTTATTTCTATGATGGAGCATTATCCTTAAAACTGATGCCGTTTCCAGAGAATAGTGGGAAAATCACAGCTATCTTGAATCTTCAGGCTCTGTTTTGATGACTTTCTTCTCTAAAGTAAAAGCGGAGTGAGGGTAGTCTTTTAAAATCCCCAGGCTCTCTGCACAAAGAGGGAAACACCAAGTGTACGATACTTTAAATCAGTGGATCACAAAACAAACGCAAACAAACTTGCAAAACAAACCCCCAAAGTCCACAGCAAACAGTATCAATTATTCATAATGCTGCAATTCCATATAAAACTAATGTTTATGGAGAGTTGTGAAGAGCTTGGATTCTATATATAAATTCCATCTCTGCCAATTACTAAGCTGTATCCATTTCAGGGCATTACATCTCTCTCTAAGGCCCTACTGTCTTCATCTATAAACTGGGGATAATATCTCTATTGGGTGATGTGAGAGTTAAGTCATCAAATGCACGTGAAGCATTTATCATACAGAACATATTGACTTTCCTTTAATGCTTGGTCCAATGTGGTTAAGTAAAATATATAAAATAAAACCAGTCACCCATACACAACTAAGTTACTAGCCAAAATATTTACTATCAATGAAAAAAATGAAACAGAAAAACATCTTTTGTGTTTAAACATGGCACTATTTTTAAAAGTTTCTCTAACCATGAGACATTTAAGTGGGAGAAACAGGAGTAAAAGAATGAAAACTCACTCATAAGGAATAATTCCTTGGAGTTAAGTGTGTATAGTTATTTGAATCTCACACAAACACTACAGAATGATGGAAAGGTAACCAATACTCATAGCTTATCTGAAATTAGGTGGTTCCATTTATGAACTTACCCTCCCTATACAGAAGTGGATTTTAAATTCAGCAAAGAAGAATAATAAAAATAGTAGCTACCATTTGTTGAATTCCTATCAGCCAGGCAGTTCATGTACACTGTCTTGTCTATCTATCCTTATAACCACTCTATGAGGGGAAAGAATTTCTGTTTTACAGATGACGCACCTGACTTCAAGTGACTCCTAATGTTACTTTAACTCAGAGACTGAATGATTCCTTTGCATGGTGTCGTTTCTAGCAATTTAACTCTGCCTCACTCACTTTACTTGGGCAAAAATATGTAAACATCTAACTATAATAAGGAACAGCACATCCTTTTATGGAGTTCAGTTTACATCTGAACTACGAATGTCATCTCCACGACGTATCTGCATGGCAAGTTTAGCTTCTGATACACAAGGTTTTCTCAGCAGAGAGCAAACATGGAGTCCATCCATTTCATATTGTGAAAGGCCAGAAAAAAGACAGTTACACAACTCAAACCAGCCATTTATAATTTGGTATAAAATTTTGTATTAAAGTCACCACTCATGTAATAGCTAATCAAAATCATCTCAACCTTCCTGAGTTGTTCCCTGTCAACTCTTTGGAAGACCATGGTCTCAAGAAGACTGGCCATTATTATGGTCATCTCTCACTTCCAAGGGGAGAAAAACTGACTAGTCACGTTGTTAGGAATGACCTTTTCAGGGGGAGGGACAGTGGGAGGTGAAGAATAGAATTTAAAGATGCTCTATTCAGTGTTTCTCTCTGATCATCTCCCGTTCTCACCTGATGAGTGGGACTTGGCCTCACTGGGGTAAAGTCTACTCAGCTCCCCGTCCACCACAAAATGGTGGGGCTGTCTGTTCTGTAGGTTAGGTATTCGGAGATTCAAGGGTCTTTCTCCTAATGGAAAGAAAAAGAAAGCAGTGTGAGTAATATTAAAAACACACCATGGTTTTTCTTAAAAATAATTTCCACAAACTGCCTCAACACTCCTTCGGAAAGGAGCAAGGAAAAGTCCACAGGCACAGAAGAATCTAGTAACAGTCAGAGATATAGTTTGTGGAAGAATAGAGGAGGAAAATGGTCATTCTTGCTAGTCCCAAGGTTTACAATTCTGCCAGATATTTTTAAGAGCTAATCACGAACTAAACAAAAGACTGAGATTCTGAGTAAGTGCTCACCTCTGGTATATAATACATCCCCTCTGTCAGGCATTTTCTTACTAGTGCGACCATTTGCCAAGGCCTATCATGAACTACATAATAAAGACTAGAGGGACAGAGATGGCTCAAGCCAACTGCTTATTATTAAAAACAATAACAGCAAAACCTATTTCAAATCTGTGAAAAAACAGAATTATCACAGATATGGTGAAAATGCCTTATATACCAAAGCATACCCTATATAATAAAACCCTAATATGCAAATCGACTGAACAGTGGAACGACCGGTTGTTGTGACATGCGATGACCACCAGGGGGCAGATGCTCAACGCAGGAGCTGCCCCCTGGTGGTCAGTGTGCTCCTACAGGGGGAGCACCGCTCAGCCAGAAGCTGGATTCATGGCTGGTGAGCACAGTGATGGTGGCAGGAGCCTCTCCCGCCTCTGTGGCAGTGCTAAGGACCCCTTGGAGGATTGTCCGACTGCCAGCTTAGGCCTGCTCCCCATGGGAGTCGGACAATCCCCCTTGGGGTCACGGGGAGAGGGCCTAAGCCAGCAGTCGGACATCCCCCGAGGGGTCCTGGACTGCAAGAGGGTGCAGGCCAGGCTGAGGGGACCCCACCCCCCAGTGCATGAATGTCATGCACCGGGCCTCTAGTCCTGTCATAAACCTAAACCTATCACACTTAACAAACTGCCACCCCCACTGATTTATCCTGGCATGACAAATTAGTCATCAAAATCTTTCACGAATGCTTTTGCTTCTTAACTCTGAAGTCATCACTGTCAAGGATGACTGGAGAGGTTAAACAAGACCTCAACTAGAAAGTTTCCCTAACATTTAAAAGAGGAAGAGCGTTCTCCTCCACCACTCTGACCTGCTGACATAATATTTTATTCAACAGTTAGATGATGCTTCTCATGGCTTTCCCACTCAGAAAGAAATCTTATCTTTTTGACAATAGTAACCAATCTCTAGAAAAGCGTAATAGTAACATAAAAAGAAGGTCCTCGCCCTAGCCAGTTTGGCTCAGTGGATAGAGCGTCGGCCTGAAAACCGAAGGGTCCCGGGTTTGATTCCGGTCAAGGGCACGTACCTGCGTTGCAGGCTCCTCCCCGGCCCAGACCCTGTTTGGGGCTCCTGCAGGAGGCAACAAATCGATGTGTTTCTCTCACATAGATATTTCTCTCTGTCTTTCCCTCTCTTTTCCACTCTCTCTAAAAATCAATGGAAAAATATCCTCGGGTGAGGATTTTTAAAAAAGGCCCTAGAAAATTACTGTTTCTGCTCAAGCACTTATCGCCATTGAAAGTAGGGGCCCGATTCCCGCACTTGCTTCCTGTGATCTCCCTCCACTGGTGTGAGCTCCAAGCAGCAGGGCCTCCTTGCTCGCTGCTGCAGCTCGGTGCCTAGGAGCGTGCCTGGCGCAGAGGAGGCACTAACACACATCTGTTGAATGAGTGAACGACAATGACCTGAGATTTTCTTCATGTGCCCATAAGAAAAAAAATGAAGTAGTTTTTACAATGGTAAAAATACTCATAAACCACAGCTTTCTAAACCTAAGCGTTTAAGAGGCCACTTCCCAACGGGCACACCACACAGAAGGTTCCAGAGGGCCTGCGGGAGTGTCAAGCTGAAAGTGGACAGAACGTCTTCAGGTCTCTCCATTCTTATCCCGTGTCCTCAACGCTCTGTGCTGTCACACTTTAGGAAGCATTCAGCATATTCTCTTAGGATCCAAATGTCACACATTCCACAGACAAATCTGTTCTTAACCCATAAAAAATAGGAAGTTGTCATCTTTTAAAAAGTGATAAAGATCTCCCAGGGAATCCACTTCTTTGAGAACAATGGTCAGTACAGTCAGTCCTCTGTATCCAGGGGTTCCGCATCTGCGGACCAATGGCACATCACAGATATGTGGGGGGGAAAGGTGATGCTGTTGCTGACATGTAGTATGTAGTTCGGCTTACATGGATGCATCTGTACTGGGCATGTGAAGCCTTTTTATCTTGTCATCATTCCCTAAACAGTAGAGTGTGACAACTATTTATATAGCATTTCCATTATATTAGGTATTATAAGTAACCTAGAGATGATTTGAAGTAGACAGGAGGGAGGGTGGACATAGGTTATCTGCAAATACCACACTGTTTGATCTAAGGGACTAGAGCATCCAGACTTTGGTATCTGCAGGGAGACCTGAAACCAATCCCCCTGTGGGTACCCAGAACACTGCACTATTTACCTCTCCCATCCCACCACCCTTTACAAAATACAGATCAACTGTATGTGCAGCTGTTATTTAGGGATGATAAGGTTAAAAAAACCCACACAACTTTAAAAATTAAATTTGCAGAGTGAATTCCTTCCCTTTTTGAAACAGGACAATTTGTAATTGGACAATTAATTTTGGTAGAGAATCTGTAAGATAATCTCTTAAAAATATTAAGATTTAAAAACCAGCAAGGTTTTGTCTCTTTGAAGTGCACCAATAGCAGGGTCTGCAGGGGCGGTCGGTCTAAGGAGGCACCTTGTCCGTCCGAGCTGTCGGAGGCCAGGCCGTTGGGGCTGTGCTCCTCGGAGCTCTGCCTGTAGAGCCCCGTGGACAGCCGCCTCTCGGCCTGCTGCAGCCGCTCGTAGCCGGCCTGGGTGCATAGGAACTCCATCTGCTTCGTCACTCCCTTCTCAGGCTGCTAGGAAGAAAGCAAAAATAAAATCAGTAACCAAAACATTCCAGATTTTTTTAATGGTATAAAGATGCCAATTTCAGACTCGCACAGATATATTTAGAATTCATTAAAATTAGTTCACACTTCATGTGGCATACACGTCCCATAAGTATGCAAAGGGAGAAAATCTTGCTCAATCCAACGAGAGAATTCCAGTTCAGCTCAAAAGCAAAATAGCCTCAGTTCTGGCTTCTAAGGTGCCGAGTCCTTTGGGAGGTTTTTTGAAAAAGGAACCTCAGTGCAGCAGCAGCATCTGCTGTAAGCTGCTTCTAACGGTGACATCTCGGCATTTTTATTTTAGGATCTGGCACTACACAGACTCTGGTATGACGACAGTGTTTGGGGAGAAAGTGTAAAATGGTTGTCTAGAGAAAGAAGACACACTTCCCCTAAAATTAAACAACGCAGACTATGCAGAACACATCAGTGCCAGCTAGGGTCTTCACCTTCATCACGGAACGAAATGGCAGTGTTTCCCAACCATCATGAAAAGCCATGTTTTATTGATTTTTTTACAGAGAGGGATAGAGAGTTAGAAACATCGATGAGAGAGAAACATCGATCAGCTGCCTCCTGCACACCACCTACTGGGGATGTGCCCACAATCAAAGTACATGCCCCTGACTGGAATCGAACCTGGGACCCTTCAGTCCGCAGACCGATGCTCTATCCACTGAGCCAAACCGGTTAGGGCGAAAAGCCATGTTTTAAAAGACACAGTTAGCTGGCTAAAATATAAGTTTATCTCTGTGTGTTTTATAAGTTCCTTCTCTACGTAT